ACGTCTTTGATGTCTTTAACGTCTTTAATGTCTTTGATGTCTTTAACATCTTTAATGTCTTTAACGTCTTTAACATCTTTGATGTCTTTAATGTCTTTAACGTCTTTAATGTCTTTAATGTCTTTAACGTCTTTAACATCTTTAATGTCTGTGATGTCTTTAATGTCTTTAACGTCTTTAATGTCTTTGATGTCTTTAACGTCTTTCTGCTGATGATCGGAACTAAGACGTAACTTTACGGTCATTTTGTCTTTGGTTGATTCTGAAACGGTCGTAAAACTGAGATAAAGCAGCTTCAGACTTTTTTCTGTTTGTGTTGAAAACCAGAAGGACGTTTGTAGTTCCTGCACGTGGTCGGTCTCAGCCACATCATCACCACATGTTATTTCAGACATGTTTACTGTCGCAGTCACGTGTGTTCACAGCGACGAGTCTTATTTTCTACAACTAATGATCAAAGAACTGTCGGAGCCGACACGTTCACAGCAGCTTTCCTTCCTCCTGCTGATCGTAATAATGTTGATCAGGGATGACGTCAATACTTTTAGTTACGTTCTAAGTTTGATCCTAACTTGGTCCTTTGGTCCTGGAGACACTTGGTGCGGTTTGGATTGTTCAGTTTAGATGAGTCTGATCATCTAAAGATCTTTCTTCGTGGTTCTGGTTCCTGCTGAGGATCCGATCATGAAGTCCTGAGTTGGATGTAAAGCGGGGACTATGAACAGCTGCTGACTGGATTCTGTTTGTTTATTGAAGGTGTTGAGATGAGGAGGATCACAGACTCCCACACGCCTTCCAGCCGTACGGTGAACACCACCCTCTACTACATCCTGTCCTCGTCCACGGCGCCCCTGCTGGACCACCGTCTGAGTAACGAGGAGCGCGCGCACCTCGAGTCCAGCCTCAACTACGCCGACCACTGCTTCAGCGGCCACGCCACCATGCACGCTGAGAACCTCTGGCCCGGCAGGGTGAGCAGCGCCGCTCAGATCCTGCAGCTCGTCACCTTATGGACCCTAACTCTGCAGAAGAGAGGCTGCAAGGTTCTGGTGGCGGCCGGCGCCCACGGAGCCATGCAGGGCATGGTGCTCAGCTTCGGGGGCCTCCAGTTCACTGAGAACCACCTCCAGTTCCAGGCAGACCCAGATGTGCTGCACAACAGCTACTCCCTGAGAGGGATCCACTACAACCGGGACCTGATCAACCTGGCGGTGCTGCTGGACGCCGAGGGGAAGCCGTTCCTCCACGTGTCCGTGAAGCAGCAGGACACGCCGGTGAAGCTGTACGCCTGCGAGGCCGGCTGCCTCAACGAGCCCGTGGAGCTGACCTCAGAGGTCAAAGGTCACACCTTCCCCGTCATGGTGACGCAGCCCATCACGCCGCTGCTCTACATCTCCACCGACCTGCGGCATCTGCAGGACCTCCACCACACGCTGCACCTCAAAGGCATCCTGGCCCACGAGGAGCACATGGCCAACCGGTACCCCGGCCTGCCGTTCCTCTTCTGGTTCAGCGTGGCGTCGCTCATCGCCCTCTTCCACCTCTTCCTCTTCAAGCTCATTTACAACGAGTACTGCGGCCCCGGAGCCAAGCCCCTCTTCAGGAGCAAGGTATAAACCTCGAGAACTCAAACTCTGATCTGCTCCTGTCCCTCTGAGACGTTTCCTCCTCTCTCTGTCGGTTCAGACCTTTCTGTAGGGGTGTAACGAGACCTGCGCACTAAAGCACCACCTGCGTGAGCAGCGCCTCTCTGAGGTTAAATAACAGAAACCCACCAAGGAGTTTCACTCTAATGTCCTGAACGACTCCGACTCGAGCTCCGTCCGAGAATCTTGTTTATCCACATTTCTCTTGTGTTTTGTGCGGAAGCTGAAGCTGAAACGTTTCGGCTGTTTGGACGTTCACCGAAACTTCGTTTGAACATTTCCCTCAGAAACCACAAAACAACTTGAAGGAAAGTCACAGGAAATGAATGTAAATATATATAATTTATATATTTACTCACGCACCGGGGAGTGGTGGCGCAGAGGTTAGAAAAGGTGGGCCTGTGATCGGAAGGTTGCCGGTTCAACTCCCCGGAATGATAGCATCAAAATGTTGGTGGGAAAGGTGAAGCACCCACACCTGCCTCCACCCTCACTCTGGGCCCTTGAGCAAGGCCCTTAACCCCCACCATGTGCTCCCCTGGGTGCCCTAGATGCAGCTCTGCGCTCCACTCGGGGCTGCGGTGGCTCGGTGGTTGTCAGGAAGAACGTCCGGTGTAAAAACAATCACCACGTCTTTGTGAGAGTTCGCTCTCTGTGGTGCAGGAGAAACTAATGACTCGTGCGTACGGGAACATTAGAAATAAAAAAATGGCAAAGTAGATGTTTAATTCTGGGTCCTTGTTAAAATGAGTTGGACCCCCCGGAGGTCAAAGGTCACTCGCAGCTTTAATGAGGTTAGGAGGACCTTTATCGTTCTAAGGTCTGAAGAGACTCGGGAGAAAGGCAGGCAGTTTTTAATCTGGTCATCTCAGACCCAGGATCCCGCCTCGCGG